GAATGATAGAGAGATAGGTAGATAGATGGATAGGTAAGTGTAGATAGCTACAGGTATATATATATAAAGATAGATACAGACAGCTATATGCACTTGCTTGGGTAGGTAAGCCGATGAGTGGATGGGCCAGCGGGTATGGATTGGTAGATAAGTAGATCGATAGACAGATAGAGAGATAGATAGGTAGCTATGTAGGTGGGTGGGTACGTAGCTAGTTAGCTAGGTAGGTAGGTAGCTAGGTAGCTAGCTAGCTAGGTCGGTGGGTGGGTGGGTAGGTAGGTAGCTAGGTAGCTAGGTAGCTAGGTAGCTAGGTAGCTAGGTAGCTAGGTAGCCAGCGAGGAAGGTAGCTAGGTAGGTAGCTAGGTAGGTAGCTAGGTAGGTAGGTAGGTAGGTAGGTAGGTAGGTAGTTGGTAGACCTGGTAGACAAATAGATACATAGTTAGATCCAAATAGATTAGATGGGGTTTCGGCTGTTGGTCTCGGTGTAGCTATCTACAGCGGTACAAGATGCAACCGGAATCCAAGGAGGGCCTTCTCGGTCCTATGCGGCAGTGGCTCGACTATGGAAGGAGTTAACAGTTTTAGGCCTAATTTCGTCTCGCTTCCTGCTATATGTATGCTTCCTGCTATGTGTGTGTTCTGGACAACACATCCTAGGTATGTGCTGCAATCTTCTCGACAAGCCTTGCACCCGACGTGGCTTCAGGATTACATGAACTCACACTGAATGTGTTCTTTGCAGCTGATCGATGGAGGCTAGGCTAATTAGATCCAATCAGGTGCCGCAGGAACCCCAGCGTGATTTTGCGTGGTAGGCCACCTAGCTGGCGAGATAGGCTAGTTATAACGCGTGGGATTCGTGATCGTGATTTTCTCGATTGGTGCTGCGACTTCCTGCCAAATTCGGAGCCTCCGGTGTCCAAGCTGGAAATGCAAGGCATATGTGCTAACAATGGTGCCTTGGACCCATCGATCATCTCAAGCTGTGCAGAGCTAGAAATAGGGCCCATCAAAAGTTCTGTGATATGCACAAGGTTCCTGTGACATCCGGGATTTCTGGTGATTTCAGCGTGCTTTTCGGGATCTCGCGTGCTTTTCGGGATCTCGCGTGCTCTGCGGGATCTCGCGTGCTTTTCGGGATCTCGGGTGCTGTTCGGGATCTCGCGTGCTTTTCGGGATCTCGGTTGCTTGGGCTCGGTTGCGGCTGCAGCCATTTTTTTCTTCTGGGTCGTCGACTTGGGTTTCTTGCTCTTCTGTGGGCACCGCTGCTGCAGTGGCCTTTGACTTTGCCTTGGATTTGGGTTGTCTGGGAGTCTACAGGGCCATTGCTCCTTCCTTTGCTGCTTTGATGCAGAGATTCATAGGGATTCGTGTAAAATCCTAAAACCCTAAACCCTAAACCCTAAACCCCTAAACCCCTAAACCCCTAAACCCCAAACCCTAAACCCTAAACCCAAAACCCAACCCCTAAACCCTAAACCAGATCCCTATGTCGCAGTGCTTGCTGACTTTTGCCAAAGACATGAACGTGCTGGCTTCGCTTACATATCGGAGGATCAATAGTTCAGGTACATTAGTCCCTTGTGCCTTGTAGTCATCATGGGCCGAAAGAAGGTGGCAGCAGAGCCTGAGCAGGCAAAGGAGGAGCCTAGTCGTGAGCCAAGTGCTCCCTCGAGACCCCCTAAGAACCCCCACAACCTTGCTTTAAAGAAAGCTCTAGAGAAAGGTGTGGCTGCCAAGGCAGCTGCAAAAGAGGAGAAGCTGAAAGCACAGCTTCTTTTGGACGATGGGCAGTGCAGTATGACACTAGGTGATCTTATGGAAGAAGAGAAGCTATCCCTCCCTGAAGCACTAGAGGTCCAGAAGCAACTTCAGTCGGCAGCCGAAGACCCCGAGTTAGAAGCATCACGCAAGGCAGCGAGCAAAGCAGCAAAGGAAATAGCAAAGGACCCCAAGCCCACCAGGCAACCCAAATCCAAGGCAAAGGCAAAGGCAAAGGCCACTGCAGCACCGGTGCCCGCAGAAGAGCAAGAAACCCAAGTCGACGACCCAGAAGAAACAATGGCTGAAGCCGTAGCCGAACCCAAGAGAAAGCATGCCGATGCAACCCAAACGGAGCCTGCCAATGAGTTTCTGAGAAGAAAGAAGCAAAGGCAAAGGGAGCACGAGGATACCAAGCAGAGAGAGGCTGCCGCAGCCCCTGCAGGAACACCAGAGCCGGCAGCCAAGCGCAAACACCCGAAGGAGCCAGATTATGAGAAGGACATCGAGGAGCTGATGGATGAATTGGACCTGGAAGAGAAGAAGGAGGCAGCAGAGCACAAGGACAACAGCAAGAACAAGCGACGCAAGAAGAAGAAACACTCCAAGCCACCATCCTCTGTTGTGACAGCAGAAGATGAGGAGAAGGAGGAGGATAAGGAGGAGCACGACATGAAGCCGTCCAACCCAGCCCCACCGGCCATGCCTCCCCCTGCAACGCGTGCATCTTACAAGCGATCCGATGCCTTCTGCCATGAGGAGGGTGATGAGAAGTCTTCGCGCAAAGGCCAAGGCTCCAAACTGCCCCCGAACACAACAACGACCGCCGTCGACCCAGACTGCACCAAGCCAAAGAAGGCCTGCACAAAACCCAAGGCTCCCGAGTCCAATGATGGCGAGACATCCACGACTGCAAGCAGCACTGCAGCAAGCAATTGCAAAACCCCCAAGCTCACTCGTGCAGTCTCATCAGACCGACAACCTTCCAGACTGGACTGTGGGTGGCACCTCGTATGAATTCAAGCTGTGTTGTCGTGAGGGGTAGAAAGTGTAAGAGCATTATGAGAGAATCGGACCTGGAAAAGTGATGTAAAATCTTATGAATTAGTGCCTTTACATAATCGATAAAGAGATCTCGCTAAGGCAAGATACCGAAAGAAACGAGGAGCAAGTCACCCCCTAAACTTCCAAACCCTAAACCCCTAAACCCCTAACCCTAAACCCTAAAACCATAAAAACCCAAACCCAAAAAACTCTAACCCCCAAAAAACCCTGCTCCCGTTGCTGCCACACTATGCTAGTTACTAGTATATACCTTCAATGACACATGCAATTGTGGAGCTCACTGTTGCCTTGGAACAGAAGCTTATGTCATAACAGAACATGCATAGGTGAAGACATTTACGTGTTTCCAGATAACAGATTGCCCCAAAAGTCCTGGATCTCTCTTTTTGTGTGTGTGTGTGTCTGTGTGTTTGTGTCTGTGCCTCTGTCTGTGTGGAAGCACATGCATGACAACGGTTGTACGGGCTTGCACGGAATGGTGCTTCTCCAGAGGTTCATGACAAAAAATAACAGTCAAACAACAACGTAACTGCGAGGTTTTTGTGACAGTTCCGTAGTAGCATAGTCATGTGTGCATGCAGTGCATATCTCTCCATATACATAGTTATTGGGTCTGTGCATCTTTGTATGTGCATCTTTCTGTGTACGTGTGTCTGTAGGTATGCATGTATATGTCTAAACGTATGCATGCATGTATGCACATATGCATGTGTATTGCATGGATGCAAGCGTGTGCATCTAAGCATCTGTGTGCATCATGTATATGCATCTACAATTGCTCGGATGTCCTGTAAAGGGGTTTGGCATAGGGTGGTAAGAGTGTTTTCGTGAGTATGGTGTGTGGGTTTAGGGGAGGGTTGGTTCAAGGGTTTGGGCTCAGGGTGTTTAGGGTTTAGGGTGTTTGGGTTGAGGGTGCTTAGGGCTCGTCAGGGTGAGGGCCAGGGCAGGGTTCATGAATATATTTCTACGAGTGCAAGTCAGCTTGTGTATAATGACAACATCCGGGCATCGCATGCCACAATGTTCGGTAGCCGATCCTAAGATGAGGTCCTGTGCTTCGCTGGAACTCGGGCAAAGGCACCTGAGTGCTGACAAGGGGCCCAGTCGCGAGGAAGGCAGCACTATCGATGGATCGATGTCGGAGCTGCTCGAGTCGCCGCTTAGATGCACTTGTCACAACATGTTCGAGGGGAATGCTAGCTCTTGGGGAATTGAGCTCCGATGCTGTATCATCATGAGGCTTGGGAACTCGGCTTCGCAAGTCGGTGCTAACATGGACTACAAGAAACTCTTGGGTATGGTGACACAGCTGCAAGTCCGGCTTGAAAAAGCTGCCGATGAAAAGGAAGCTGCCGAGGCGCAGGTTGTGCATCCTGAGGAGCCAGTGCCAGCTGAGCCAGTGCCTGCTAGCAAGGTGAAGGCAGATGATGAAAATGGTGATGGGGGTGAGGATTTGGATGGGGAGCCTATGGATGAGGAGGCCGATGATGATGAATCTGTAGCGATGGATAGTGATGGGGAGAGTGCTGCAGAGCACGCGGAGATTTTGCAGGAGGCGGAAAATCTCCGATCTAGGCGAGTGGAAGAGGCACAGAAGCCTAAGGAGGCTCCTTTGTTGCCACCCCCGAACGCAGCAGATGCTGTGCCAGACACTAGGCCCCCCGTGAACCCTGTACGCACTGAGCTTGCTGTCGTCAACAGCACGACACACAAGAAGGAGTACATGCGACTGGATTCTGGTTTGCAACATCAGTTCAGCATTCTAGGACCTGCATGATGCGTCAATTGTGATGATGCTCTTCGTGCAACTTAGAACCGCTTGATCAATACCGGCGCCTTGGCCGAGAAGTTCCCATCAATGCAAGCCTTGGCTGATGGAACCATCAAGGCTAGGCCAGGTTTATGGGTTTGTTGGGTTGTATAGGTCCTAGCTTCAAGCATATGGACTTGTCGGGTCTATAGGGTTTGCTTCAAAGCGATTAGGATGAAGTTTAAGTTTGAATTTCCAGGTCAACTTATGCTGCTACAGGGCCCTGGGCTTTGATCGGGCAGCTTCTGTAGCAGGAAACCGTGTATCCATGCAGCATGTTTAATTGTATGAATGTGAAACCACAGTCAATAGGAATGTTGTTATTTCTACTATATGTGTCTGGGTGCCTCTGTGCATGCATGTACATGTGTGTTTATCAAGTTTGTTCGTGTATATCTATGTATACATATATATATATGTATAGATATATGTAAATGCATAAATGTATAAATGTATATATGTATAAATGTACATGAATACATACATATACATATATATAGAGAGGGATACATCTATGTATTTGTAAAGAGAACACATATATGCATATGTACATATAGAAATATATGTCGAGATACACATGCATGCATGTACGGAGACATCATAGTCATAGACAGATGGCCATGCAGGTAGGTGTACACTGTAAGCCGGAGACAAGTTTCTAAGGAATCATGCCAAAGAGTATCGGGTCCTTGTGCCTCGAACTCGTGCTGAGGCTTCATGAGGGTCTGGCTTAGCTTCGTATGTAGGTGTGTCATGATAGCTACAAGACCCCTGTCTGCAGGAGAAGGGAGAACTCTTGCGACGCTTTGTCGCCGCCCACGAGAATCTTCAAGCTTGTGAGAGCAGCATTCGTGCTGCTCGCACGGCAAAGAAGAAAAACAAGTTGCGGCAGCAGCTGGTCGCTGTGAAAGACATGACGAAGAGCCCGTACAACTTCAGTGCGAGGCTTTATTTAATTGGTGTTAGACACTTACTGGCTTGCTAAGAATGCCAAGGCTTCTCGATTATACTTGTTGTTGGCCATCCAGGTATATGCGAGTTTCCTCGTTTCGATTCGAGTCTGGTTTTGTTCGTGGGTTCTCGGCCCTCAGTACGTAGCAGCTCAAACTACTTGTTTGCATCGGCTGCTGTTACATGATGATCACAAACCCAAAACCCCAACACCAGGATTCCGTAAGCTAGTGTTGAGGACCATGTGTTATTGTCTAAGGCAGTATATGTGACACTCGTCACTGCATGCACCTCTACTCTGATCTCAGGAAGAAGGTGGACGCCATCGTCGCGCGCGGGGGGGGCGTCCCGGACAGGGACGCCCCCCTCGTGCTCGAGGAAACCAAGTTTTGGGTGACGGTGGAGGAGAGCCGCGAAGACACCGAAGGGGTAGAGCTTATGAGCTGCATTATGAAACACTTCATACATGTGTGTAGCAGTTATGTCCTTACATATGTATATATATATATGTATATACATATGTGAGTGTGTGCGTGTGTTGTGTGTGTATGGCTTCTATGTAAGTATCAGCATGCCTATATCTCTAAATAACGAAAGAAATCATCACATATCTAATTCTATAGATTTATGCAAGCACACACACACATATACCTGTATGCACCTAAGACCTATAAGTTTCTAGTTATCTTAAACCTGTATAATTTCCTAGCTGTAGATTCTGTTACAAATGCCGGTTCCAAACTGTGTGCATGTGCTAGCTGACCTGGGGTTACTGGGTGTTATAGGGCTTAGGGATTTTTCCTGCTGTAAGTTCGTCTGGATGGAGTGGTAATACACTATTGGAGTGTAGACTGGCATTGCTGAGGTATAAAGAGGAGCTTAATCTCCACATGCGGCCGGATACCTCTGCTGCGACGAGAATCCTGAATGACCTGCCCTCCTCGTCGGCGGCACCTTCGCCATCCCCTCTGTCAGGGGAGATCCTACGTGCGTATGATGCGTACAATTCGGAGCTGGCATCAGCGGCAAATGTGCCGCAGGGACGTTGCTTGCTTTGATCTTATCAGGCCATGCAACACTGCAACACTAAGTAATACTGCTGTCATATACGAACTCCCGTGCCTACTCACTCACCCACCCACATACTCTCGCTATCTCGCTCCAGCATCTTTCTAGGAAGATTTCTTTGTCTGTTGCAATCGCAACGATTCATTATCAACATCCTAGCTCTCTGTGTGCAACTGTATGTATGCATACTTCTCTCTGTTTCTCTCTCTCTCTCTCTTGCGTTTGCTCTTCGTCGCCAAGATTGTTTTTTTTGTTTTTCCTCTCTCTCTCTCTCTCTCTCTCCCTCCCTCCTTTCTATTTAATGTCCCTCGGTGTGATTATAAGGTGGGGCTTCCCGGGCTGGTGGGTCAGCACGCTCCTGTGTGTCGAGAAGGACTGCAGGATCCTCAAGCGCCCCCCGAAAGATTGCCTTGATCGAAGAACAGTTCCGCAGCGAGACTGAGAAGCATGCGAAGTGGAGTGCTCTAGCTGCACAATATTCGGTACTACGTACGACACTATGGCTATCCGAACGTACTTTGAGAATGTGTGGGTACTGAGAACCCGGAGCAAAGAACCGGAAACCCCTCGAAACTATTTCTCACCTGAGGTGCTGAGCTCCGAAAGGAGATGTCGAGCTGCATGACCTTGAGCGTGGAGCTCCCCCAGGACGACGAGCTCAAGACCATGATCGATGAAAGCCTCGCGGAGCTCAAGAGCTTGGCATTGAGGTGTCGACAGCTATTTAGACTTCCTGCAATGAACGAAGAAGTACTTGCATGTACAAATGCTTGGTGGTCGTTGTAGTATGCAGGCTCAAAAATGCCAAGACCTTCGATGCGATGGATCCCATCTGTCGTGAGATTCATGAAGTGGTAGCCTGGTATGCACCTAACAAGTTAGCAGCCCATACCTAGAGTAGCTAGGTCTTGCTTTCCTTGAGCTAAGGTCACTGACTTCAAGGTGACCAAGGGCAAGGCAAAGGGACTGGTTGCTGAACTCAAGAAGACAGCCAGCTGAAAAGCAGCACAGCGCTGTGCTGAAGGGTCTTAGAACCTTGCTCTCCTAGCTAGGGGGAGTGGTCGATCTACGCATGTGCAGAAAAATACTTGCTCTATCTTAATCAATGTGGTGTGTATATATGTGTCGATATACTGGGTGACTCTACTGAACCTAGAGTTCCTAATGATCGGTCCGCTCCATGCAACTAATGTCGTTGTGGCATTGTTGAGAGCAGGGAATGATCCAAATTTCATGCCGCAGCGCATGGCTTTTGTCTTAAGGCTTAAAAGCCCTTTCAATCTTCATCGACATGGTGGCATGGCCCACCAAGCAAAGCAGGAAGTTCGACTATAGTGACTGGGGTACAAATGTGCACAGGCTTGTGGGTTCTGAATTCTGAACACTACGGGCTATAGAGTGTAAACCCTACAGCTAAAACTCCAAACCTTGTGATAATCAAAGCCCAGTCTGTAACTCTGCTCAAGCGACCAGTTCATTCAGGGGGCTCTAGTGGGGTCGAGCTGTCCAGGATCACTTCAAGACTCTGTATTCCCACATAAGTGACACTCCATAAATGCTGAGTTCAAAGCCTTAAAACCCCAAGCCCCTAAGCCAATCACCGCCCTGTGTGCGATTCCGGCCTTGCTTCCTGGTGCTGGTTGGTAGGGCTGGATCGGAATCCTGGGACATGGTTTGATGCTTCCTGGGTTTGCTGGTTTGGTGGCTTGTAGGTGTAGGGTTTAAGGTCTTGTTAAGGTTTCAGGGTCCAGGGTGTTAGGGCTTATGGGTATCGGACTATAAATGTTTTCTGTAGGTTTGGAAAGTCTTCGGTTGAAATCGTGGTAAGTGTCGTCGGGCTTGAAGCCCCAGCAGAACCACTAACAGTAGCTAACTCTCTCCTTCAGCAAACAATCCTAGCGATGAAGTTGTACTTCCACTGTATGGGGAGATTGTCATGTCATATGGTGGGAATCAGGAGGCCTGAGATCCCTGCAAACCTCGCTCAAATACCAGCAACTCGGGACAACAGGTGAAGCTTCCATTATATTCGATGTCCTATGTAATCTGAGTGCATATGATGTAGATCCGCATATGTACAACCAAGCCTGGAAGCAAAGTTCCCTAATCCAAAGCCACCCACGCGCAGGTCCAGCGCTGCCTCATCATGTGTCTGCCAGTGTCCGACAAGAGCTGGATCGGAAGATCCTTGGGCAAGGGCTTGAATTTAGTTTTTGGGTTGTTAGTGTAACAGGGGGGTGCTTTGGAGAGGGCTGTGGTTCTGATTCATCCAAGGATCGTGCAGTCTGTTTGTACTGGCGATGCCACGATTACATTGGGATGTGAGCTCGGCCACTTCGTCGCTTACGAGTTGGCCACTATTAAATTTAGGTCGAGGCCTCTCCCCTCTAGCTCCAGGTAAGCCCCATATGACTGACTGTTTTGAAAAAGGTTGCTCTTTGCTGATAAGTAGTGGTGGTTATGTTCGGGTAAAGATCCCACCTAACCCCTAAGCCCTAAACCCTAGATGTGATGCTGAAACCCCAGGACTGAAGCCTCGCTGAGCCTTCTACTGCAAATGCTCGCACCCCAAAAACTGAAACATTGCTTAGAGATCGAGTGCCTGCAACAAAACTCAACAAGTTCCTCTAGATGAATCTTACCAGCAATCGTCTGCACCATCCTAAGTTGTTGCAGCTGGGAGCCAGTTTCCCGACACAATGCTGATAGATAATCTACAGTGGATGATTACTGGTAGCTTGGTTTTCGGGTCGGTTTCTGAGTTCAGTGTATGTAGAATTATGCAAGGCTACCTAGGCCATTAATGAACTCGCTACAACCAATATAATACCTTGCAATCTGGTCCCAGGTGACATCTACAGCTCTCCTGTGTTGAACTCTTCGGGCTCTCGGCCACTCCGGGAGTCAGAGCTACATGCGCGAGTGAAGAAGCTGGGATGTAGTTTTGATGCCCCGGTGACATGGATACAAGCCCCTCTGGTTTCGTCATGGGTCGATGACGACGACGGAGACTTCGAGAAACAGCTGATTCGGGAATTTCCGGTGATGCTGCCGAGCTCGCTTGCTGCTTTGTTCTCCAAACAAGCCATTCTTTGAAAGACACGTTTTGATTAATGGACTGTGTGATAACTCTGCCAGATTTTCTTTTCGGAACAAGCTGTGCATCAAGGCCAAATGTATGATCGATGAAGGCTACCTCGACTGTTTGCTACCATCCGACAAGACGACTGTAATCAAATGTTGGAAGTCTTTTCTTGAGGACCTAGGGGACGGTCATCCGATGGCCGGCATGGACGAGGCTCGTTTATCGTGCACTGTCCCGGTCGTTCTGTATGGAGATGAAGGTTCCAATAATGTTGGCCAGAATGGTTTCATGCTGGGAACATGGACGTTGGCCTATCTTTGGCATTATTTTTTTTGAACTTTTAACGTGTAGAAATAGCAAGTTGCAGTGTGGTACGTTTACATAATTTAGCTTCATCTACGAAATTTAAGGATGGCAGACCTCTCACCCTTCCGTGGTGACAGCAAAGCATCGAGGCAGCCTCTGTTTTGCATCCCTGTCGATTCGTACGCTTTCGATGATGCAAACATCAATATTACTTTGCAATCTGTGCTGGCTGCTGTGGTTGCGGATTTGAACCAATTGGCCACAGAAGGCATCCCAACAGAAAACGGAGAATCAGGGCCGTTATGGAATAGAATCGTTTGTTTTAGGTTGGGTTTCTTAGTCCGTGTTCGAACTCTAAACGTTAATTTCGGATTTGTGCCACAAGGACCTCTACTTCTGTGTCGTGGCGATGAAGGGTGACATCAAGTACATGTACCAGAGCTTCAATCTGACTCGCCATCCTGGCAAGGAGCAGGCTTTATGGCTCCATTTCTTTCTGGTTTTAGTAAGATCGACAATAGGCTGTTACTAGGCTACTAGGGTGCTAGTACTGCCTAGGCTAAATGGGTTGCCTCCAGCATTTGTGGTTGGTCGTTTATGTAGTCTAGGGATATCGAGCTGTATGTAGGTCAATCAATTATACAACCATACAAAAAACTTTGAAAGTGTATGTCCATATCTAGAGACTAGCTCTCTGGCTTGCGGTCTTTCGTTCTGCAAATATTCTGGCTAAGATATGCTGGAGATGTGCAGCTTCGCGGGGTGCCTCTGACTTTTCCCTTGTTTATACGGACATCTCGCCACGAGCACGTTGGCGATTTCAGATGATTGGAGACCCATGGGATGCAAGACCGGTTCTCGCGGACCTGTGGGGTTTTGACCCCCAGCGGCGGATGTTGGGAATCGACTTACTGCATGTTCTGAACCTTGGGGTGCTTCGTGATCTATGTGGAAGTTGCCTCAAAGTGCTGCTCAAACCCCGGGGGTATTTTGCAGGAAACAATTTGGCAGCGAGATTCAGAAGCTTCAATCGGGACCTAAAGGCTTGGTTTAAAAGAACAAAGACGCCGCAGCTGCAAGTGAAATACATCAAGAAGAGCACACTCGTGTGGAAATCGGATTCATGTCCCGAGTTGCACCTGAAAGGTGCAGATACTGCACAAGTCTTGAGGTACCTAGCGCAGCTCACGCAGGCCAGCCCACCGCAGTCTTATCCTGCTATGACGGCATGCTTGTGGGCTATATCGAACTTTCTTGGCATTCTCATGTCGGCCGAGATGTTTCTTACAGATGAGGAGCGTGAGTCAGGGTTCCACTTGGGCAGCCTGTTTTTGAGAAGCTACCTGCACTTGGCGAACGAAGCGATCGCCGCCGGCGATCTACTTTTCAAAGCACGCCCCAAAATACACTACTTGCAGCATGTTATAGACGATTTACAGTGGAGAAAGCGAAACCCAGCAAAAGATGCCACATGGATGGATGAAGACCTGATGAAGCACACCTTTCGAATGAGGAAAAGGATGTCCCATCGAACTAGCCCCCTGAATGTGCTGCGACGGTACAGTGTCGTGTTGCGTGCAAACCTGGACAAGATCCGAAAGACTCGCTAAAAAGGCCGAGGCTCTTCCGTGTTCTTGCTGCTTTGGCAGCTGCTGCAGCTGCTCCGGATGTAGTGTTGGGTCTATTTAATGATCGGGCTTGGGGCCAGGGTCTATATAGGGGTGAGGTTGTTTTATCGAGCAAGTCGTCGGACTGAAGTGTCCTTATAAAGGATAAGTTAACGAACCCTAAACCCTAATTCCTAAACCCGTAAGACTTGGAGCTGGACCTGGGCATATATGGTTTCGGCATATTGTTCGGCTCGTTTCAGGTAGTGTATATATGGTACATGCATATAGGTTTTTTGCGAGTATTCAACCAAAGAGGCTAACAATCAATTTGACAACCTGATATAGTACGGCATGTGCCCCACAAAATTATGTGTAGCCAAGGTTCAAGACCACCACCCATTGTGAAGCCATTCGTTATGCATTATGACAAAACTTCCAGGATTGCCATACAGGATGGCCCTAAACCAGATAAACCCAGGCTGACATGAAGATCATGCTATGTTTACACACACGATGGCAGGGATGCACACAAACGTATTTTATGCACACTTTACTTCTTTAGCCTTCTTAAGGTCTTAATGAAGGCTGTGGTTCCCGATCTGGTGCAAGTTTGAAGCAATGCTCCCTTCTTGGTATGTTTAGCTTCATGCTGTGCCCCTGAAGCATAGAAAATGCCTTATTAGTCAAAAGTCACTTAGTGGCCAAAAGGCACTTAAAAATAGAACCGCCCCTATGCTAAGTTACCTTTCGAAGCAAATTTTCCTTTTATATCACTTTTCGTCCACTAGGAAGGGACGCCTTGCAACTCGGCAGCGACCGAGCTGAAGAGATGCGACAGTGCCTGTGCTTGCACGTCGCATTGGCATTTGAAGAGGACCTGGCTACGGCGTGGGAGAGAGCACGGGATCTGAGACGAGAGCTATGGGAGGAAAGCAGTGCCGCGTTCCAACACCTGGGTGACGCCAGCCCGTACATCAG